ATCGGCTCTTATGAGACCTGCTCTTATGGTTTACCCATCTTTTCTTACAAAACACTATCCTTGCCCTTTTAAATACAAAATCGCTTCATCAAGAATATAAAATATCTCTGCATTCAGCATTTATGCAAAACAAGTCTTACGATCTCGGGGGTTACAATTTCTTACACTCTTTGCTGTTTGGTGAACTCTCTTCCTAAGTTTAAAAAGAATCAGTCAAAGTACTTTGAAGTGAAATTGGAAGCAGAACACAGGCAGGAATCTCTCGCCCACATTAGGCAAATGTAAATGAGACCTGTGGGAATATAAACTGGATGAAAGGGAGATTTAATGTTTCGCTGATATCATTTATTTTTCTCCCTCTGCGTGCTCCTAATCTCCAAATGTGCGATCAGTATGAGGCTTATAGGAAGTGACAAGATCAGCTCATGAACAGATGGCCTCGATATAGCCACTCCAAACAGTCTCTGTCTCTGATTGAACTCATATCTGCTGGATATTGTTGGATTATTTTAAAGTTTCCAGTTGCGTTTGATCAACGATAAACTCAAAAGTGCAAACTCCAAAAATGTGATTTGATCATTGATGTCATCTTCATTTATATACAGAGGTTGGACAAAAAAACTGAAACACCTGGTTTTACTACACAATAACTTGTTAGAATGGTGAGGGCCTCATTTTGCATCCAAATACAGCACCAATTGACAGATAGAAGTCCTTCACAGTGACCAGAGGGATTATGAGCCGTTCCTCTTCCAGAACAGTGTCCAGGTCACTATATGATGCTGGTGGACTCGCTCCTCCAAAACACCTCAATAATATTCAGATCTGGTGACTGTCAGACCATGGGAGATGTTCAACGTCACTTTCATCTTCATCAAACCCTTCTGTCACAAGTCTTGCTGTGTGTGTTGGTGCATGATCATGCTGATACACGGTTTGAGCATCAGGTGCTCATGATCCTCCAGAAGGGTTTGGTAGTCCTCGGCAGTGTTGTGTCCATCAAATACAATCAGGATTGTAATGATATTGGAGCTCAAACCATCACTGATCCACCCGTGCTTCACTCTGAAGATTGGCCGCCAGGCATATAGATGTGAAACCTCCAACATTGGCCAGTGTTTCAGTTTCATTCTCCAACCCCTGTATATACAGCACTTTTAACAATGTAGATTGTTCAGCTGTTCAGGCAAGTGAAGTACAGATTGTTTTGGTTTTATGGCAGCTCTAGAGTAAAGTTATTTTCCAGTTAAAGTTAGTTTTGATCGATTCACTTCCTTCGCAACGATCATTAGTTATTAACTTAGGGTCGCTAACACGACACCATTTTAACAGAAATCTCTTAAGTTCTCTCTACGCAAACTTTAAAAATGCAAACCTGTGAGAATGCTGATGGCGTGCACATGCGTACCTAGAGTTCATTATAGGTATGTGCAGGCATAGTCCTTCCATAAAAAACAGCCCTCAACAAACTACTTGTGTGTGTGCATTATAAATATCACATCAGATACTGATTCTTCTTGATGATTTGACCAGTCTTCATAAACACATTTATTTAAGACATAATTCAGCAAATTACATTCAACATTCAGAACAGAAAAATCATCCACAGTCCCAGTCATTTATTATTACTATTTACATTTCCAAAAATAATGACTTTTTAATTATACATAAACGAAATTATGCAAAACACCAAAATGCAGTTAATTTAACAAAAAGTCCACGTACACACTACAATGTTCGGTCAGTAACAACCATGTGTAAATATGTTTCAACCAGCAACAACCATGTGTAAATATGTTTGGTTAAACATTCTTTTAAGCGGGTAATTGATTCGGTTCACAGAATTGAACTGAATCAAGCTTTAGTTCCGGGTTGATATACAGCAAGATGCACATCCGAATTAGCACACTCCTTGAGCCAATAAGCATGTTCAGATAGGTTAATGAACCAAAGAACTGGTTTGAAATGAATGAATAAAAAGAGAACCAACTCAAAAAGAACCGGATTAATGTCGGTTCTAACTGTCATTCTGAGGTTCCTTGGAAAACTGTTAGTATTGGCCCATTTGTTTTTTAGTTGGACATGACTGAAAAGCTGACTTTCAGCTCTGCATGTAGCTTTGATTCATTCATTCTACCCCAGTTCTTTGGTTCAATTACAGTTCTTGACATGATTATTGGCTCAGTCGGTGCTCCACAAGTGTGCGTGCTACTTTGGATGTCTTGAGTCATCAACCTGGAACTAAAGTTCAAATCAATTCGATTCAGTGAACCGGCTCGACCGGTTACCAGCTTAAAAGAACAATTCATTCAAGAATTGAATATCACTATCATTTAAAACAGTAGTTGTGAACCAGAGAGCCGGGGCAGGGTGTAAGACTGCAAAACTGGAACCAGTTCCCTCTGAAGACAAAAGGACTTTGCTTGCAAATTAACATGTGAACAACACACACACACACACACACACACACACTCTTGCAGAGATCACTCACACAGGAATATATTTGGTTTTAATGTGAATGTGATAATCTTTAAAAGGATTGTTTAGTATCATTTTAAAGGTCTCAGGGTGACTGGTACAGTTGTCTCATTCCCAAAGAAGTAAATCAAAAGGTAATAAAGTTCTTAAGAATATATAAATATCTTGCATACAGAAGGTTGTACCTTCGAGTTAACACCTTCTAGCCTTTTGTCTGAATGCAAATTACAACTAAGCAAATGGTTACCTACTGGTAAATTTCCACTGGAACTTACATATGAAATGAGGACTGACTACATAAAGAAATGCAACGGAGAGTTCAGGGCTGCATTTTCTGTATTCAGATGAGCCTGTGAGGTTGAGAGTATCCAGCCTGTTCTCATCCTTTAACGTCATATAGAACGCTATATGCAAAAACGGCGCTATACTACGCACATGGCACCCTTTATCGTTAATATAACACGCGAACCCAAGACGTTATAAATCCTTTAGCGTGAATATGACACGCACATCCTACCCCACACCTAAACTTAGCCCTCACAGCACGTGTTATTAACAATAACGGGTGCCATGTGCGTAGTATAGCGCCGTTTTGTCATATAGCGTTCTATATAACGTTAAAGGATGAGAATGCGTTGGAGTATCGCGACTCAGCTCACCTAACCACATGTTGGGTAAAGTTCTTTGTTCTAGGAACATTTGATGGTTTGCATTGATTATCTTTCAATTGATACATTTACCTGACATAATTAATTGTTATCTTTGATTATACAGACTTTGACTTCATTTTCATTAGAGTTAAAGGAATAGTCAAACATTAACGTGTATTTAATGATGCACAGATATCATTGTTAAACCTTTTTTTATTTTATGGAGTCAGATGAAACGATTCATGCATCTGACTCCATAAACTTCATAAAAAAATGTTATGCATTTAATTAAAAATCAGTTTGCCATGGAAAAGATGGAACACGCATGAAACCTTCACCTCAAATCGAAGTCTGCCATTTTGTGGTCTTTACAGGGGTCTTAGCAAACTTCCAAGGAGGCCTCAAGATGACTTTAAAATTATTTAAGATAAGAGAAAGCAAGCATTAAAATTAGCCAAAACAAAAAAGTCATCCCAATTATGAATATATATTTTCTTGTTATGCCAAGCTTTAAAATAATAAAAACATTGAGTAGAAATTGGGTTATCAAGTAGAAAATCTGGAAGTTTCAGATAGAAATTGTATCCATCATTCTTATCCAGTATAGCCTATATCACAAACTGGAGAAGTGCTTGAGGAGAGACCCCAACATGATTATAAAGCGCTTTGGGTGTACAGTAGTACTTGTGAAAGTGCCACATAAATGCCTCATTCATTCATTCATTCATTCATGTTTTTGTGATTTTGTGTTTTTGACAATGGAAGGCCAAAACAGAGTCTGAAAGGTTGAGAACCACGGGTCCCAATTATCATTGCTCAACCAACCATATTTAACTGTAGTGCGTGTACAGTATGTGACCTATAAGACCAAGTCAAAAACCTAGAATTATGTATGATAACTCTGCATAGCACAAATTTAGACTCAGCAGTTTTGTTCACCACTGTGCCTTCAGGCACTGAGTGCCAACGGGAGATACCTGGATAGGGCTCAGTTTCACTCCACACCACAGTTTCATAGTTTCATAGTTCTCAGCACCTATTCTAGACTGTATATCAGCCTTCATTAAAGATTAAGCTTGTACAACATAATCCTGTTTTTTTTTTTAAGCTTAGCTTCATTTTTACGGAGGCGTATTGCATTCACTTGAAGAAAAAAAAAATCTACTCTGTTTTTCTGAATTAACGAGTTAATTTTTCATGGATTTTTTTTTTTTTTTTTTGCTCTGTTTTTCTGAATTAATGAGTTAATTTTTCATGAGAAAAAAAATATTTTGCTCTGTTTTTCTCAATGAATGAGTTAATTTTTCATGGATTTTTTTTTTTGCTCTGTTTTTCTGAATTAATGAGTTAATTTTTCATGAGAAAAAAAAATATTTTGCTCTGTTTTTCTCAATGAATGAGTTAATTTTTCATGGATTTTTTTTTTTGCTCTGTTTTTCTGAATTAACGAGTTAATTTTTAATGGAATTTTTTTTTGCTCTGTTTTTCTGAATTAACGAGTTAATTCAGAAAAAACAGAGCAAAAACTTTTTTTTCTCACGAAAAATTAACTCATTCATTCAGAAAAACAGAGAAAAAAAATATTTTCTCATGAAAAATTAACTCATTAATTTAGAAAAACAGAGCAAAAAAAATTCTCATGAAAAATGAACTCGTTAATTCAGAAAAACAGAGCAAAAAATTTTTTCTCATGAAAAATTAACTCATTAATTCAGAAAAACAGAGAAATGTTTTTTCTCATGAAAAATTAACTCATTAATTCAGAAAAACAGAGTAATTTTTTTTCTTCAAGTGAATGCAATACGCCTCCGTACATTTTACTCATATACAGATGCAGTTATCCTTTCTGAATGCACCACAGAAAGCCTTGGATGACGTTCTAAACAAAACCTCCATTCATTCCATGTAAATTCTGATTTCGTCCAATGTAAATGAGTGAAAGATTTTCTACATTTTTTTTTAGTTGTAAATAAGCCAAATATTATGACTTTCATTAGACTGACGAACCCCTTCCACTATGAAATCTCATTAATCCAAAGTCCCACTCCTCATAACTGTAATATTAAATATTACATATATTCTAATTGGCTGTAACCATGTGCCACCGGGAAGCACTTTCACATGCAGCATGGAAAGATAAATAGCTAGTTGTTGAAATCTTATTGCATCGTGTCTGCTTAGGACATAGTCTCAAGTCTCTTCACAGTGATGGGCCTCTGCATGAGTCCTGCTTTGCAAATGACCATCTGGAATCTCTTCTCTCATACTGAGAGCATCAGTTAATCAAAGTTCAAGGACTGTCAACACTTATTAGGGAAATCACTCAAAAATCCATGCAAATGCACTGCCTCCTCTCATTTAAGCTGTCTTCCATAGTTTGCATGACTTTGTAAACAGCACATCAAACACACTTCGAGACATGCACATAAATGAATCTGGACGAACCAAATTAAAGCAAACAATTACCATAAATCTTTTGCGTCCTCTGAGAATTCAGTAATTGATTATTTGCTAAATGTGAGAATCTCTTCATGGGAGAGTTATAGATCTCTGTTAAGTCTCAGTTTGTTCTCTTGTATATGCTGGAGAAGGGCCTTGGCTCTCTGTTCTATGTGCCGGATGAGCGATTTGAGTCCGGACACCTTTCCTCTGCTCATCCAGAATTCCTGATCCACAGACAGGGAGCGGAGAAGCATCCTCTCCAGACATCCTGACTGCAGCACTGAAACAGCACGTTCCGGAAACCTGGCAATCAACAAACACACAGTTAAGGCCCGTTCACACCAAGAATGAGGATATGTGGCCACACCAACACAAGATATCGTTCTGTTTATTTATTTTTTTTTACAAAAAACAACAACAAAAATAAAAACCAACAGAAAAGTGAGCTGTTTTGGCGTCTCCCTTTTTAACACCAGCTCTTTAAAGCAGGATGGATTCTGATTGGCTATCCATGTTTTTATCATTCCTCAGCTGAATTTTTTTTAAAAAAAAAGTGATTCCAATTGTTTCTCTGTGCCATTATCGTTAGTTGTGGTGTAAACGCTGCTATTCTGCTATAGAACCATATCTTTATCCATATAGCTATCGTTCTTAATGTGAATGGGCCTTTACACTGAAAGTTTTGTACATGTTGATCAGTAGAGGGGCATTTTCATTTTTTATTTATTTTATTATTATTTTTTTTTTACAATAATTAACAATATTCTTCAAAATCTAAAATTTGAATCAGTAAGCATAACTTTTTCTTGGCTTTTTTACCCAAATGGTAATGGTAAGAAGTCATGGTTCAAACTAGTAATAGTTAAAGGGTTAGTTCACCCAAAAATGAAAATTAAGTCATTAATTACTCACCCCCATGCTGTTCCAACCCCGTAAGACCTTCGTTCATCTTCGGAACACAAATAAAGATGTTTTTGATTGAATCTGAGAGCTCAGTCCTAGATAGACTGCCTAAGGGACTGGCTCTTGACGGCCCATAAAGTCATTAAAGAAAAGGTTTAAATATTCCATGTGCCTACAGCGGCTCAATTATAAGTTTATCAAGCGACGAGACTACTTTTTGTGCGAAAAAAACATAAATAACGACTTTATTCGACTATTCCATTACTTCCTTATGGGCGCATGCGCGAGAACTGAGACGAGGACGTTCTCATTCGTCTACTTCTTGTTACCGGCTGCTCCACTTAGGAGTATTAGCGCCACCTACCGTATAAAATGATGATCCATATATAAGGCGCTCCGGATTATAAGGAACACTGTCGTTTTTTGAGAAGATTAAAGGCTTTTAAGTGCACCTTATAGTGCGGAAAATACGCTAATTGAAAAGCGTATGTACAGGGCGCATCTTCCTCTGCTTGTAAACAGAAAGTTTTGCGCTTCCAGCTATATCAGCACATCATCTTATACGGTAGGTGGCGGTAAAACTCCTAAGCGGTGAGCAGCCGGTAACAAGAAGTGGTCGAATGAGAACGTCCTCGTCTCAGTTCTCGCGCATGCGCCCATAAGGAAGTAATGGAATAGTGGAATAAAGTCGTTATTTATGTTTTTTTTTCGCACAAAAAGTAGTCTCGTCGCTTGATAAACTTATAATTGAGCCGCTGTAGGCACATGGAATATTTAAACCTTTTCTTTAATGACTTTATGGGCCGTCAAGAGCCAGTCCCTTAGGCATCCTATGTAGGACTGATCCAGCTCTCAGATTCAATCAAAAATATCTTTATTTGTGTTCCGAAGATGAACGAAGTTCTTACGGGGTTGGAACAGCATGGGGGTGAGTAATTAATGACTTAATTTTCATTTTTGGGTGAACTAACCCTTTAACTCATTTTAACCAGTTTTATACTTGGCCACACCACTCTAGCCACATGTTTATACAATAACACTGTATATAACCCTGGTCCTATGGCCGGTTGCACCAGTTGTGTAAGTTGCTTGCAAACCTTGTTTTGACGTAAACGGCACTGCGTTTTTAGTATTACACTTAGTTGAAATGTAATGTATAAAGTAAATATTTAAGGAAGTAAATAGCCTTGTCTGTGAAACTGGGGGATATAATAAATAAGCCGTTTTGTATTTCAAAGGAAACATTTTTAGCAGGGACGTGCACAGGGGGGTTGCTCAGGTTGCCCGGGCAACTGCCCATATGCCCTTCTCGACTCAGGTTGCCCTTCCGAGGAAAAAAAAAAATCGTACAATGGATGTAGAATTTCACGTAGGCCTAGACAAAAAATAATATAAAAATCGCAAAGCCTCATTCACTTCCAAAAAAAAAAAGTGAAAGTCAAACTGTTTCCACGAGACCATAGACCACTGCACGCGACCGGTGCGGTAAGGCACCGCAAATTACTCAGGCCGCGCCTCCATCTCGTGTCGCGCGCTAATTAATGTGTACGAAGTCCATGACAAAATGAAGCGAAACTATCCTTCTCGTCACGAAAAGAGGAAGAAGAAAAACATGAGAGTGAATTGCGGGAACAGCAGTCTGGTAAACTTGTGTTCTCTCCTCTCTAGTGTCAGCAAAGTTTGATGGTTTGTCTGGGCAGGCAGTGCATCTCTTGCATCACTTTTTGCCTGACAAAAGTGAGAGTAAAATACCATTATTTATTACGTTTTGTTTTTGATAAACGACAAAGTGCAACAACAGTTTACTGCAGCTCGGAAAACATAACCGCGTCGCGTGTGTTGCGTTCATATGCGCGTGCACGAAATGAAACTCGCATTTTTCAAGCAGAAATGTGGAGACCAGAGAAATACCGTACAATACGTGAATGATGGCACTCCCAATCAAAGTACACATTATAAAGACACTGATTATCTAGTCTCAGTGTAGTTAAAAACTCTAAACAACTGCACTAATTATGCAAGATAAACCAATGTATTGGCAATTTGACATTGATTGACTATTGATTTGGCTATATTGAATTTAAAATGATGATTAGATGGACATTCTGGTCAATATGAATGCAAATCCCTCCGTAAATAACCATAAATCAAGATTTGCTTCAACATGCATAAAAATAAAATAAAAATCATAGGCTACTGATTCCGAAAATACCCAGGCTGTAGAGTGAACCAAAGTTAATCCCAAAAGCCAAAGTTCAGGGTTGTACTTTATTATTTTCTTCTTGTTCATGTTTACGTTAATATTCACTTAACATTCTATAAAAATGCTTTATTCAGTAAATATTGTTTGTTTGAACCTCATTATGTTCTATATTGTTGTACTTATTCTTTGACTGTTTTGTTTAAAGGAGGGAGGATTGTATTGGGCGGTATTGAGTGGCAATGGCAAATGGTTTACATGGCTCACGGCATCACAGATCAGGTAGAGGTCCCCTTAGCAGAATTTTGCTTAGGGCCCCAGGGGGAGGTCAGGATTGGCAAAAAAGAATTGTATTTTTTCCCAAAATCTAAGCGTTTTTTATTTTTTCCATTCAATCCAGATTATTTCTTTTCAAATAAAAAAATACATAAATAATAATTTAAAAAAACAATAAACAATGAGGAACTCTTTTGCTCATTTGTCTCATCTCTGACATTTTGCAATCTTCATAAATAATTATAAGACCATAAGATGAGGCATTGCGTTTGGACATAAACACGGCCAGATAAGGCAATTTGGAAGGGGACAAATTCAACTGAATATATTCCTTCATATAGCCCGTTTAGGGGGAGGGGGGGGGGGGGGGTGCCCTTTTTTCAGGTCAGAGCAACTGCCCCTCAAAATTCCTGTGCACGTCCCTGATTTTTAGTTACATGAAGTTAGAATCATGGATAAACTGGCATTATTGGCATTGTTTAATCAATTCAAGGCATTTCTTGAATAAAGAATAAACTTCTGTTCAAATATTTGCAGCTAGGTGTTGGATTATTGAGGGTAAGCTCTAACTAATAACTAATAATCTTTGCAACAGAAGTGAATCAATTAAAACTAACTTTAACTGGACAATAACTTAATTCTAGAGCTGCTTTAAAGCCAAAACAATCTGTATAATTTCCTATTATCACTGTTAAACTTCTTTGAAAAAATCTGTATTGTTAAAATCGCTTTATAAATGAAGGTGACTTATGACCTACTTGCTACATTCTGCTTTCAGAACAAATGGTGCAACCATAGTATAGAGTTAGTTGCAAATTATATAGTAGTTTCTAAGGGTACTTTTACATGATATTTTTGTTGATCCTGGAACAACATACCTGTCTGGAAATAGTGCTAACCCTATCCCTACCCCCAAACCTATCCCTATAGCTTGCCCCTAAATTCAGAGGGAAATGATAGGCGAATAACACGCATATAACCAGGGACGTGCACAGGGGGGTTGCTCAGGTTGCCCGGGCAACTGCCCATATGCCCTTCTCGACTCAGGTTGCCCTTCCGAGGAAAAAAAAAAAATCGTACAATGGATTAGGCCTAGACAAAAAAAATAATATAAAAATCGCAAAGCCTCATTCACTTCAAAAAAAAAAAAAAGTGAAAGTCAAACTGTTTCCACGAGACCATAGACTGCACGCAACCGGTGCGTATGGTAAGGCACCGCAAATTACTCAGGCCGCGCCTCCATCTCGTGTCGCGCGCTAATTAATGTGTACGAAGTCCATGACAAAATGAAGCGAAACTATCCTTCTCGTCACGAAAAGAGGAAGAAGAAAAACAAGAGAGTGAATTGCGGGAACAGCAGTCTGGTAAACTTGTGTTCTCTCCTCTCTAGTGTCAGCAAAGTTTGATTTGTCTGGGCAGGCAGTGCATCTCTTGCATCACTTTTTGCCTGACAAAAGTGAGAGTAAAATACCATTATTTATTGCGTTTTGTTTTTGATAAACGACAAAGTGCAACAACAGTGTTTGTTTACTGCAGCTCGGAAAACATAACCGCGCCGCGTGTGTTGCGTTCATATGCGCGTGCACGAAATTAAACTCGCATTTTTCAAAGTACACATTATAAAGACACTGATTATCTAGTCTCAGTGTAGTTAAAAACTCTAAACAACTGCACTAATTATGCAAGATATAAACCAATGTATTGGCAATTTGACATTGATTGACTATTGATTTATAGGCTATATTGAATTTAAAATGATGATTAGATGGACATTCTGGTCAATATGAATGCCAATCCCTCAGTAAATAACCATAAATCAAGATTTGCTTCAACATGCATAAAAAAAAATTAAATAAAAATCATAGACTACTGATTCTGAAAATACCCAGGCTGTAGAGAGAACCAAAGTTAATCCCAAAAGCCAAAGTTCAGGGTTGTACTTTATTATTTTCTTCTTGTTTATGTTTACGTTAATATTCACTTGTTATTCTAACATTCTATAAAAATGCTTTATTCAGTAAATAATGTTTGTTTGAACCTCATTATGTTCTATATTGTTGTACTTATTCTTTGACTGTTTTGTTTAAAGGAGGGAGGATTGTATTGGGCGGTATTGAGTGGCAATGGCAAATGGTTTACATGGCTCACGGCATCACAGATCAGGTAGAGGTCCCCTTAGCAGAATTTTGCTTAGGGCCCCAGGGGGAGGTCAGGATTGGCAAAAAAAGAATTGTATTTTTTCCCGAAATCTAAGCGTTTTTTATTTTTTCGAGTTTTTTCCATTCAATCCAGATTATTTATTTTCAAATAAATAATAAATAATAATTTAAAAAACAATAAACAACAATATGAAGAACTCTTTTGCTCATTTGTCTCATCTCTGACATTTTGCAATCTTTATAAATAATTATAAGACCATAAGATGAGGCATTGCGTTTGGACATAAACACGGCCAGATAAGGCAATTTGGAAGGGGACAAATTCAACTGAATATATTCCTTCATATAGCCCGTGAGGGGGGAGGAGGGCGGGGGGGGGCGGGGTGCGCCCTTTTTTCAGGTCAGAGCAACTGCCCCTCAAAATTCCTGTGCACGTCCCTGCATATAACCCTTGTTGTAACTCTAAACTTCACAAGTTTACATGTAAACTCGTCCTTCAAATCTGATTGGATGATTGGAATCAATGAAGTTGATCCAGGAACATGTTGTACTTCTCCACAACTTTCAATTTCTTCTTCTTTATTCTTAACTTTGATGTTTACCATTCATTTAGGCCATGTATAAGGCTCATAACTCCATTAAAACAATATTTGAACTCCATAACCTTAGACTTATTGCTTACTTTACGTATTCTCGAACCAGCATTTCACAAAGAGCTTTCCCCTCTCCGGAGGAAATATTACAGCTCGGCTCATATGCTCTAGTTGTAACTGAAGTATCCAGGAAGGTATCTTTCCAGGATCAGGGTTGGAGACCCCTGTAAACAGTATACGGTTAGAATAAATATTCACAAATATTAATACTTACTCATCAATACCGTCAAGAAGTCTGAAGTTGAGATTGTCTTGTGGTTGGTGAGGTCTTCCTGCATTGTCAATAAAAACCAGTCTGGATGGTTCTGTGTTCCGAACCTATAAATAGAGGTTTACACAGACCATAACTGAAACGATTCATCGTTATTTACTTGAATATCATATGCAGAGACCCCAAATTGTTTCGAAAAATAAAAATTCTTGGAAAAGTCATTCCAAAAACCATAAGACTTTGGTCCATAAGACTTTGGTTCATTTTTGATATTTTAATGAAGTATAATTTCTGATTATAGATTTGTTGAGCAGTTTAATCCAACTCTTCAAAAGAGGCTTGATCATATATAACTTCAATTTTGGCTTTTTTTTCTCGCATAAACATGAATTAACACACGTAGAGCACATCAAATGTGGTAAACAGAAGCTCAACTTTATTTTCTTGGCATGTCAGAACCAACCTTTTATTGGTTCTTGCAGAAGCTCAAATGCGCTTGTGTGACACACAAAAACAAACCTCATTGAACGTTAATCAATTTTTATTTTGAAGACTAAATTATATTATCATATAAAGCCATTAAGTCACTTTTGAAGACCTGGATAAACCACTAGGGTTCTTATATTGTGTTTACAATGTCTTTTTGAAACATTTTGAAGTGTCAAAGTTTTGGTTGTGTGTACTTTCGATGGAGGGACAGAAATGTCTTAGGTTTTAATATCTATCCTTTGTGATTTGCTGAGGGTAATTGATGACAGATTTGTCTTTTTTTGTTAGTGAACTAACCATTTAAGTCACACTTAAAAATGTTAGAATTGCGTTGCATTAAACACAAAATATCTATAGTGCTATACCTCTTTTCTTTCTTTTGATTCTTTTTGATTGCATTTCTAATCTCACAATTGTGCCAAAAGTATATTCAGTGTGTACACATGCAGAAGTCAAGACTAAATTATGACTGAAACATCCTGTCTGCCAAAAACTTTTTCACTTCACATGCACGTTTAATTTCAGGGTCAGGATCAACAAAAAAGTCAGCTTTTATGAATTATACTAGTTGATGTGAGCTGTAGGTTTCTAAGTGACAGGGAGATATTTCTAAAATTGTAGAAAGATTTTGAGACCAAGCAATATTAAAACAGATGACTTTTGGAGCTGCATTTCTCCAGCTCTCTGAACACTTTCAGATAATGACTACACAACCAATCTAAAGGCTCCCATGGAAACGGATTGCCTTGACTCATTTTAGCTGCCTCACTTAATATAACTGGGTTTCTAACTCACAGTTTGAGTGGGAGCTCAAACTTCTCATAGATCTCAAGAGCTGCTGGAAAGTTATTACTTTTGATATTGGAAAGCAGAATGAAAGATTTTTTTTTTTACTACTCTCTCCTGGAAAACGAATGCTTGCCAGTGATGTAACCTTGTTGTGAGACCGGTCAATAAAACTAGATGAATAAAAAAGGAACTGCTTCAAGTTTCACTGAAGCCATGGTGTCATTATTTATGCATGTTTACTCTCTTCAAGGTCAAATGAACTCCTGACTATAGTTTAAGGGCACTTTATTACACTAAATTATTTTACATTTATTTTAAAAATGTATAAATATACCCTTTATCCTCCAAATATAATATGAATATATATGCTTTATCATCTGATATAATAATACAATGAATTAGAAGTGAACTGATCCATGGGATCATTATTTATGCATGTTTACTCTCTTCAAGGTCAAATGAACTCCTGACTAGTTTAAGGGCACTTCATTACACTAAATTATTTTACATTTATTTAAATTTTTTTATAAATATACCCTTTATCCTCCAAATATAATATGAATATATATGCTTTATCCTCTGATATAATAAAACAATGAATTAGAAGTGAACTGATCTTGTACCCTTGAATAACTTTTTCTTACGAATAAACAATTTCACTTCTATAAAATATTGGATCCTTTTCTCCACAACTGGAGTTGCAACCCGATCGCACTGCAATTCATACGAATTTTACGAGGTGGCTAATTCGTACAAATTCATGAGACCTCAATCGTACAAATTCGTACGATTTTTGCTAATTCATACATATTTGTATGAATTCATACAAATGACCTACCCCTGACCCCGCCCCTAAACCTACCCATCACATGGGTTTAGACAAATCGTACGAAGGTCGTACAAATTCGTATATGAATTAGCCACCTTTTAATCACTCGTACGAATTCGTACGAATTGGCCGTGAGATAATATGAGATAATGTGAGGATGTTGTGTGCTGCTTTGTATTGACATGTTATCAGATGATCTGACAAATATCTCCAATATTTCATTTACCAGGATATGCACCAGATTCAAGTCCTTTGGGTTTTCACATTTGATATGTAGCAGGTTTTCTACACAAAGTTCTGATGGGTCTGGTCTGAAACCACAGCAAGACCGGTCCAGTCTGTCATTCACCTAAAAAACAACAAAAGAATTAAGATGTTAAAGGAAATAAAATGCTCTGTAATCTGTTACACTTAAGTTTGGGGACCAATTCTCACTATTAACTAGTTGCTTATTAGCATGCATATTACTAGCATATTGGACGTTTATTAGTAGGTTACTTATAAAGCACAATGCCTTATTTTGCATGACCATATTCTACGTCCCTAAATCCAACTTAACCACTACAACAACAACCTTACTTACTATTACTAAGCAGTAAAATTGAGTTTATTAAGGCAAAAGTCAATATGAATGTGTTCCCCAAACTAAAGTGTGACCAAATAGACACGGTTAATCTCTTTTATACTATGACAATAGACATGAATATAGGCTTTTAAATCTTCCCTTTTAAAACTATTTGTAACTGAAAAGTAAAGTGTTAATGTATTAATCCAAGAAAGACACAAGAAGATGATTAATCTGACTTTTAATGAGCATTAGGTAAATCAAAGCACTACACGCTATAACATGGTTAACACTAGAAATCGTACTGAGGAAAACTCAACACAATACACATGAAAATACACTAGCAGGCTAATTAACAGAACTGGAGACGGGTGCCTAACATAATCAGTAACCATAGAAACAAACAAGGATTGGGAACACAGGCAAAGAGGAACAGAACAGAAACAAACCATCATACTCGTGACAATAAGGTTCCAATTTATTTATTTATTCAGAAATAAATATAGACCCAATTTAGGTTCCCCAAAGAACCTTTGTAACAGTTAACCAACAGTTAACCCTCTGGGGTACTTCGCCGTACAGTCACACATGGGACCTTCACGGTCATAAGTGACCGGATAAATTTCAGTAAAACCAATCAAACGAATTTTTGTTCTATAATATTTTTTCTTTTTTTTCTGTGGTGTTTTGAGAGAATTCTATGAATATAATTAATATTTATGCAATAACTATGATCAATTATATATATATATATATATATATATTATTATTTTTTAATTAATGCTGTATTTTAGGTTAAAGTAAAATCTAGGCTCTTAGAGAAATGTTTTTCAAGCAGATTAGCGCCACCTGTTGGAAGTAGTGAGCATATTTATAATGCAATGTCATATTTTAACCACTAGATACAGCTTTCTGTAGAAAGGATTGTAGATTGTAGTTGTTTTTGGACATTAATTTACTTTTTTTTTCAGGTTGTGGTTAAGAGATTCTCAAAGACTGTTTTTGTCAAGATTTTTGTTTGTTTGGTTGATTAAAAAAGGTAATTAAATATTCCCTGTGACTACAGTGGCTCAAGTATAAGTTTATCAAGTGACGAGAATACTTTTTGTGCGAAAAAACAAACAAAAATAACGACTGTATTCGACTATTCCTTTTCTTCCTTGTGGGCCTGAGACGAGAGTTCAAGAGATTTCCACGACGCATGCATGAGATTGGGATCTCCTTCAACTATTTCAGTTCAGTTCTCGCGCATGCGTCGTGGAAATCTCTTGAACTCTCATCTCAGACCTACAAGGAAGAAAAGGAATAGTCGAATACAATCGTTATTTTTTTTTTCTGCACAAAAAGTATTCTCGCAGCTTGATAAACTTATACTTGAGCCACTGTTGTCACGTGGAATATTTAAACTTTTTTTTCATTGACTTTCTGGGCCGTCAATTTCAATCCCTTAGGGAGCCTATGTAGCAGTGATTCACCTCTCAAATTTAATCAAAAATATCTTCATTTGTGTTCTGAAGATGAACGAAGGTCTTACAGGGTTGGTTGGTTTCATTTTTGGGTAAACTAAAGGCGGGCATACACTGTGCGATGTCTGTGCGATTTCAGCAAGGTACCTACTCACACTGAACGAGTAAATCGCATGCGATCCAAAGCCAAAGTTCAGGATTTATGTGCTCACACTGTACGGTCCGATCGTCGAGCTGCGACTTCACTGCTCACACTATACGTGTAATATCTGCGATAACCCCCTGGATTGCGCCTATTTACGTGTATGTATCCAGAGATATTGTCAAAACAAGCATCTGCAATCAGTATCCAGATGATTTAGTATTTTCAATTTATGCATTTAATTATTATTATTATTATTATATTATCATTATTAGGGGAGGCCTATAGGCTAATTTTACTATTAAATTGATCCGCTATTTGCCACGCAATATTTTCACAGCACATAACCAACGTGCTGTGAGGAATATAAATCTTACTCCTCATTAAAAATTGTCTAAAACATTTAGGTCGATTACAATGAATTATATACATATAAAATAACTATTAACAGTCTATAATATGTCCGAACATTGCCATTATTAATCATCAATGAAAATTAAAAACAGGTTTATTTCAAAAACATTGTTTGACAAAATAATAAAAGAGGTGTTACATATCAGGTGGCTTGAAGACGGTGGGTAATATTATCCATTTTGCAACACGAACTGGAGGTTAAGCAACAGTAATTTGTAGCTCGTTTTTATTTGAATTTTATTTTTGCTGCAGATGAAATGGTTAAACTTCTGTTTTCGCGCAGGCGCAGTGAGGGAAAAAACACTGAGTTTAGGGCAATCGGTTCGTAGCTTTGCTTCAACTGTGCGATATAGTCACGAGGAGCGACCAAAATTTCTGACATGCCAGAAATTCATCCGACCATCCGATTGTCGATCGTGAGAGGTTAATCGCCTCTCGTTTCTCCCTGTACACTGCACGAACACTGCACGACAAAGCTGAAAATCGGTCCGACAAGAAAATGAGTCGCACGAGTCAGAATTCGGCTCAAAATCGGACGAAAATCGCACAGTGTATGCCCGCCTTAACCCTTTAACCACAACTCATACTTGTTTAATCAGTGTTATTAACCTCACAAATATTCAAATAAGAAATTAAACACAGCATTTTCAGTGTAAGCCTACTGTATACAATCATGAAACCTGATTTAGGATTGTTTTCTAACGCAGAGTAGTATGAAGTGTTTTCAGACTCATTCTTCCTTTAACAAGGCAAGCAACTATGAGGGCGGAGAGTATTAAGAGATTCCAGTGGTAATGCTGTGGTTTATCTTTTCTCACAAGATATAACAACATTACTCCTCTTTGGTTTCTGTGTCAAGATACCACACTGTGGGTGAGGAGTTACAGTGAGATGGTGCAGAAAGTGTGTTTTACATTCCCAGTTTGAACACCTTCCTTCTCCCTCAAACTCCACAGGCCATACTGACATATCACTGCTATATTTCACATTGTGAAGTCAACCAGGTATGATCTCACAGAACAACTTTATCTTTATCCGCTGAAAATGTATATGATTTCAAAAGGTGGGTAATAATTCTGCTTTTAAATGTCATAAGCATTTTTTCCCCTCATGGACATGAAAAAAATAATTCACTATTTTAACAATAAAAATAATTCACTCCCATGATTTATGAATTTGTTCCCTCGATTTGATTAAACTAAAACAAATTATTACAATGTGGCCACGATTTATTAATTCGAGGCAACTAATTATTATATTGTGCACACAATTAACTTAAAACAAGGGAATTAATTGGTTAAATGTGCTGACATGGCCACGATATATGCCTATATTTTATTTTATTACAATTTTTTGGGGGGCTGAACTCCATAATGATGCAAGTTCAAAAGGGATTTGAGATTAGGGTGGAAGGGAAGATTATCAATAACAATTAACTTTGGGCTGTTTATCACAAAACTTGTGTATTTGAATTGAAATACAGCAGAAAATTTTGATATATACCACATACTTTATTTTGATTTATTTAGGAACTTAAGAGTGAATAGAAGAATAAAGAGAAGAGTAAACCACAGTCAACGGAAAAGAGCACTTCTTGTGTGTCAAAGGGGAGAAAAATATATAAAAATATATAAAATGAATACATAAAATCTATGAAGGTTTGCAATGACAAGAGTAAATGACAATTATATATATATATATATATACTATATGTATATACTGTATATAATCTTGTCTTTTAAATGGTTATGTTTGCTTGGCTTTGTTTGGATTTACCTGTGGATACTGTTAAAGAATGTCTTGGATCTTGACGAAGAAAATAAAGATCCAAAATCCAAACAAAGCCAGGCAAGCAAACACAACCATAATGAGAAATGAAAACACAATGAACAGCTGAACAGAATGACGAAATCAAATCAGTAACCATCGTGACAAACTCTTGCGGGAAACAACAAATATTGTCCAAACATAACAGAACCATGATTGTTAGTATAAAAAAAAAATCTTTGTTGATTAAGTTTAAAATGATTTACAAGTAGCCTTAAAAATAGATGGGAAGAGATGCTTATGTCACTTGTCATGCTGAGAATAATACGATTTTAACATCAGCTCAGTGTCTGTGAAACAGCTGTCAGTCAGTTCAATATCAGAAGCAGACAGTCGTCAACACACATTGTGTTCCTCCTGCACATCATACTCAAATCTATGCACTCTTTCTTTACACAGCCGGCACTGTGATAACCTTAGGGCTTGCTTGCGTAATGTTCAAGCCGAGTACTGCCACTGAACCATGGTGAATGCCAAAGAGCATTTCTGTCGAAGACATTTCCATGTCACAGCTCCTCAAATTCTGAATCATGTAACCTTTTGCTCAGAAACCGAGACAAACATTTTTTTTTCCATTTGTTTGAGTGATGTACAGAGATTTTATACATAGCACATGACTATTGGTAAAAGACGCTTCTGATTTGCATTTTGCATTAATGAAACAAAATTAACTAAAATATTGTAATATCAAATTATATTGGCAACACATTTTTTTTTCAATAGTCCACTTGGTTCTTTATATTTTATCTAACTATACGTACATTTGTAACTACATGCCAACTGATTTTAACCCAAATCCTAACACCAAACTCCAGAATAAAAGTCTACTAATACACTAATGAGAGTTAGTTAATATGTACTTATTTATAGTTTCAAAAGTGACCATCAAAATAAAATGTAACATTACTTTTAGCATATGCAGAATAACAATTTAA